ATTTATTGTAACGTAATTTATACAAAAATGAAATTGACAATTAATTACTTTCTATATTTATTAAAGTTTGTGGTTCAGCTTTTTTTGTCATCCAATTTCAATATGTTACTCAATTTAAAATTTTATTGCTACTATGTTAAATATCTCATAATATTTATAAGTAATAATAAAATGATATACCGGATGTGTTTTTTATATTGAATCACTCAAGTATTTTGGGCAGCAGTGGGCCTACGAAAAAATGCTTCGAATAAGTTAAATCTGGACGAGAGAAGTGTATTTGTGTCACAAAAAATGCCTACTTCCTTCTTGTGGGTTAACAAGGGGCGACTCGAAATTTTCAAATACAAACTGCAAAATTTTACTGCACGTTAAAGGACTGAAAAACGTGCATTTTGACGTGAAAAAGTGGCAATGTTTTACGTAAAACACTTTCTTCGATTTGGGACAGCATTTCAGATTCCTGAAAATTAGGAAAATAATTCATATCCGAAATATCTCGGATATTTCGACGCACACCGTGAATAGCAAAAGTAGATTATTCCAGAGAGCTCAGATTCCAAGTCCAAAAATTGTTAGTTATCGCATAATATTTTGAAACATTAAATTAAGTGAAAAAAAATAACTCAATACGCCACTGTTCCAATCAGAACTGATCATATAACATCGCGTGCACCGAAATGCATAAGATGAATAGCCTGTTTTTTTCTTCGTTTCCAATGTCCGAAATATTCGTGCACCATCATTTATTGTAGAGAAAGTTAGGCATCGAAAAGAATTAGCAAATCCGGTTCACCATGAAATGTTTTGGTAAAAGTTTGCTCATACACTTTTGATAAGCTGGCTGAGCCTTAGGCAATAAATTCGTTTCATATCACTGTTATATTTTATGTGCATATATATCTAAAATGAGTGCTGCTTGTTTTACATTTTTTCCTTTTTCATGATAATCCATAAGTCTGGGTGAAAATATGTTTGCGAATACAGACAAAAATGGCTATGAAGATTAATAGACAACTTAAACTGGCTAGCGAAACTGTATTCTAGAAATCGTTGGCTAGACAGTAAATGATCAAAATTTGTAAGAAAAGTAATGAACATTTCTATAAAGTAAAGAAAATATTTTTGAATGAATTTGCATAAGCTCATGTCCCTTCAAAATATTTTTACTGCTTGCATAATAAAAATAATGTATAATGACACACTTTCGTTGATTCCGTAATAAGGCTCAACCTTATTTTCCAAATTGGATTTTTCCTAAATTCTAACTTGCGTTATTTTTTCAGTGTTTTCATTAAAATTACGCATTTCTACCACTTTTCTACCAGTATCTATTTTCACAGCTTGTTTTAAACAATATAGATAGAAAGCGTATTTTTAAGTGTGGTTACATAATCAAAATAATAATGCGAATGAATGGTTTAATTGATGTAAATTTGTATTTTAAGTGTTAACAAATTGCAGTAGCATTCAAAATGATGATAAGTTCGAATGACAACAAAAGCATTTAAGATAAGCTGCATTTTATTTTATGAAAATAACTGTTTTCATAAGATAATTGCAGCTGTAATCTAGGTAAAGGGAAATAATAAATATGAACGTGAGTGCTTTGAACCCTTATAAAGTATCTTCATTGTATCTGATAGTTTCGATATTTATTATTTTTGCTTTAAACACCATAAAAAAATATCTTTCTTGTGATTAACAAGCTTTTATTGTTTCAAATACGACGCAAAGCTAAAACTCTGTTGCTGAAGTTCGAATTTAATTTTATTAAAACTTTTTACAATATCTTAAAACTAAATTCACACACAGTTGATTTTAAAGATGTTAAAAAGTATATACATACCTTGTTCAATTTCTCAAGTAGGTTCACCACTAAGTAGTGCTTGAGCTACAGGGTTTCAGTTAAATGCAAAACCTTTTAAGTTTCCTTTAGACAACTTTCTACAGTGTCAGTTTATTGTGTCGTCTTCTATCACTTTTATTGGGTATTTTTAGCTAAAATCAATCTGTATCTTGGGTAATAGATTATGATGCTTGAGGATTATAATAAATTGGTTGGGTATTTAACACATTATTATCTTTACAGATGGTAAAAGTACATTTAGAGCGAACATATCCCATTTTTAAAACGTAATTTTCAATAATTACTTTTGTATGACAGGAAAATCGAAAACTTTGAAAGAAATAATGGAAAGTAAGTAATCATGAAAAAAGTGAAAGGCTATAAAGTTTCAACATAATTTTAATCATTTGGAGTATTTGGGGCATCACAAAACTGTGAAAACCAAAACTGCAATTCAAAGTGCTCACATTGCTTTTTTGGCAATAAGTGTGAAACGAGCAAAGTTATCAAGCTGGAGTTTTAGGGTTTTCTCTACTTTATGATGTTATAACTGGTTTCAAAAACTGTTACTGCTACAAATGTCTCTGGCAATGTTTTTTTTAAAATATGAGGGTTTTGGTTGGTTTGAGTTTATACGACAATGAATAGTACTTACATTTTTCTTCCTAACGAACTTAAAATTACGAAAATTCAACAAGTTTTGCATAAATACAGTGAAAAAGATTTTACTATGCTGTTTGCATCCTCATGATGAACCTGTTTTGCAGTGATCATGTTTTTAGTTAAAGCTGAAAATCAGTTTTGATCATTAATTTCCAGGCCTTTGACCCAACTCAAAACTTCTTGAAACAATACTTTTTTGAGAAAACTGCCAACATTTTCTTATCAACGGTTCACTTTCTAACAAGGCCATGTAGTTCTTTCTGAAATGATGTACAAATGAGCGTTCTTACTCATTTTGCTTCCGAGAAATGAGCAAAAACGGGACGGAAAACATACAATTTTGGCACAATGTAGCACCTAAGTGTCTGATATTCAAATTTCGTTTTCTGGGTCACAACTACTCGAATTTCCTCACTCTTGTTAAAAACGAACGAATTCTGTGCCTGAAATGGTTGTTGAGAAATTTCGAGAAAAGTAGCGTCATGTTTGATTCGATTTTGCAACTCAAAAAAAACACGCAAATCTGAAATTTCATGAAATGAAGACTTTTTTGAGAAAACGGCTAACATTTTCTGATCGATCGTTCCCTTTCTAAAAAGGCCATTTAGTTTTCTCTGGAATGATGTACAAATGAGCGTTCTTGCTCACTTTGCTTCCGAGAAATGAGCAAAAACGTCCAAGTATAAAAATTAATATTAAAATTAAAAATAAAAAATTAATAATAAAAAAAAGTATAAAGAACTCGAAAAACGAATGGAAAATGAATAAACTAATATAAGGGCAAACATTACCCGACAGAAATTCATGAAGTCGAGTTCAGATCAAGAGATCATTCTCTAGAACTCTCAAATTTTGCGGCTAAACCTGCTTCTGTTCACATCTCTGCAACTAGCTTTTCATTTCAGTAAATGTGGAAAATAAAGTAACTAGAAATTTATCTAAACTTAAATCTTAGTTGAACATGGATATTATTTTAAAATTTAAACTTTTTTAATATAACGCCATCTCACTTAATTCCAAGTCAAAAATGCGACAGTTGTTTTAAAAAATATGTTTTTTCAGCTTTTACTTACCAGAACCAGAAAATTTATTTGCAATGGTTTTTCTTGATAATGTTTTAATGCCCAAATAAAAGAAATGATCGACTTTATTATCGACAGAAAATCTACAAAGATAAAGACAAAAAACTTGAACAATTAAACAGTCGCAAAGGCTGCAAGGAGAACCGTTGAAACGGAATAAACATTTATTCAAAAATTCATCCAACTAGTTGTGTTTGGGAAAAAGTGGGTCACCACCAGGCCCAAAATTTGCACATTTAATTGGTTTGCAATGTAGAGAACGCTTATAAAGAGTGCCAAATCATTTTGTTTGATTGGTTCGTTCACAATGAAAGCTGCGAATGGTTTGTTGCCGAAAATATCAACTCGCTTATATGCAGTTCGCGTTAATTATTCAATGTCATTTAGTTAAACATTCTTCGAAACAGAGGATCCATTGTTCAAATATCAATGTACTTGAGTCGTCCAAGTTTGACGGATAATTGCATTTTTTATGATCCGACCTAAAAAACGACAAACATTGGTTTTCCAGTTAAAACTCGGCAAAGTCATAATTTGTAGGTCTAATTTGGGTGATACTTATTGAACGTTGGACATAGAAAACAAATCTGAATAGTGCCTCCAGAGAATGCATTCTTGAGCAAATTCAATAGCCAGCGGGAAGAGAAAAGAATATTGGCAAAAGCAATACCGCCTAACCTTTAGTGACGAATTAAAAAAAAGAGGAGCGAAAGTAACGGTACCACTATTGAGTTCGCGGATAAATAAATGACTCTTTGTCAGGCCCCCCCTAAAAAAATGAATAAAAAAACACTTAAAATATTACTCCTTGTGCTCGTCACGGCTTGCGAGACTTGTATGATGAATTTCCAAATTGTATAATGCCCTTTAAAATCGTATAAATAGCTAACGGAACTTTTGATTAAATTATAAATCATTGCGTGGCTCTTCTTAAGCGAGTTTAATTTTGCTGAAGATAATCGACTTTGGTAGAAAATGTGCGATGCATGTTTCGGCTTGGATAAAGATATGGAACTTAAATTGGTACAGTGTTGAAGAATCGACAAACTTGCATTTTTAGCCTGTATTATTTGTTGGGGCTAGGTTTTTTTCAATTGTGGCGACTAATTTTTACAAATTATACCGAGACATACAAGCAACGAGCATTTGTCTTTTAAGTAATTTAGGTTTTAATATCAGAAGAGTTCCGCGGCCATTGCTTGAAATTGAAGATATTTTATTATATTTTTTAAGGTAATTAAAAAGGTTTTAGATCGCAACACTTAAAAGAAGACTACAAAAAATATAAACCATTTTCTACAACTTTTGTATTTGAGATTTTCTATGAAATTGAAATTTTGCGGAATAAAGGGATTGCAAACACAACTAAAATCGACTAGGTATCACAAAAAATAAACAAACATCAATTTCCTTCATGCTGTATTTATATTTTCTACAATGCATATCATTCAAATATAATAATGCCATTAACTTCATTTTTAATTAAACATTCTATAAAGACAAATATACGAAAAACAGTAAATTTTATATAATCTGCATACATCCATAACATATAACGTAACAAGATCAACAATTTATACTGTTGAGTTTGAAAATGCGAACAAAAAAACGTTTTTCTAATTATTTCAAAAGTATATTATAAATAATGGGACTGCTTCCAACTTTGCTCATTTCTAAGCAAACCTACGTGGTTTTGAACACAAAAATTACGACTTTTTCTCAAATCCTCCTAAAAGAATATTTATTTCACAGTTCTGCTCGGCTAATTAAACTAAATTAAATATCGTTTTTCAAATAATATGAAATTAAAATGGCAATCTACTTGGACCCCAAACATATTTTTATTATTTAGTTATAAAACTCACATTTTCTATCTATCTACTTGTCGCAATACATAATTGAGTAGATAATTCCAACTAGAAATTGCCCATTATTTGAAGCTACGAGGAATTTAACTCATCTGTATTGAAATATAAAATATATAGGGGCATCTAAAAGATGAATACCTTCACTTTATTTACAACGTAATATGCAGTAGTTTAGTTACTATCTATATCAGTGTGGGCTTGCTGCCTTACATCTAACTCACTAGAAGACTCGTTCAGACTCAATTCATTTTCCGGCAATAATTTTGATTTGTACAAGTTAGACGAAAACTCTTCGAATCCGTTACTCTCTAACACATTATCCAGGGAACTATTATGACTTAACACTAATTTTTCTCTTAGTCTATCGTTGCTATCTACGTCAAAGCTCATACTCTTAACACCTCTTGATGCAGTTGTCTTATACAGGGCTGACGTAATCTTCGGTTTGTTATTCTCAGCTATTCGACCAGACGACGAGTTGTTGGGATAACCGAGATAGACATTATACCCATAATTGCCTTGATCATAACAATATTGGCTGGTATAACAGTAGCTTTGCCTTTGCGAACCCAAACTTGTGTTCGATGTAGATAGACCGGTCTTAGCTTGCGATGAAATATCTAAGAAATTTCATAAACCATTAGACGGATGATTACAAATTAATTTAAATTAAGAAGGCAACAAAAAGTAGTTATTAAACTGGAAGTTATTAGACTGGAAATAGTTCAATTTACGTTTTTGAAAATATCGGAAAATTTTAAATGTGCATTTGAAACTTAGATGAAACGGCCAATGTGTTCGTCGACAAGTCAGCATGAAAATAAATCTCAATTATTATATTTATTTTATTTATTTTATTATTTTATTTGTATTTATTCGATTTGCGACAGGAAACGGTTATATTATTTGAAGGAAAGATGGCAAATGCTAATTAACCAAAAGACAAAAATTGATAACAAGATAATATTGTCCATAAGAACACAGGGTAAGTATGTATGTATACATGTATAAATGTGTGCGTATGTATGGAATAAGTTTGTTCATTTAAATTCAAAGTCGAAATTGTGGAAAGCAGTCTCATGTTGGTGTGCATTTTAGATCAGCAAAAAAACAATTAAAACTAGTAGTTTTTTGGGAAAATTGATATTTACCCCAATATCGAATTTACTCCATACTTTTTAATTTGCTTTTTGCCGTTTTCCGTCAAGCACAGTCTGATAAAAAACCTCTTGGCTCTTCAAGAATCGCCAAGTTTAAACTTTCAACATACCACGTTTCAAGAGCAAATTGATTAATTTTATTTTATATTGAAAGTTTTACTTGTTTCATGGTGCAACTTCTATTTAGAATATTATTAACCATGTGAATATTTTGAATAACATTTCATACCAGAAACAGTTTGAAATTGACTGCTCAATGTAAGCTATATTTTTGGTCTTGCGTATTCGGACTATGAGGTGATTTTGACAAAAAAATACAAATTAAGCTTCTCATCTAAGGAACTCCCAACATTTTGAAAAATTATATTTAGAATATCGAATAAAATATCTGGCTTCAGATAAGTACCAGTTCGAAAGAAGGAACGTCCTAAGAACTAATTGGACGTTGAAAACAAAAGACTTACTTGGATCTGAAATTTGCCATTTTGCATAATGCTACATTTTAATTATATGTATTTTGGCCAATCAATGTGTTATGTTGTCAGGACTTCTTTGTCTTTTTTTGTTTAGTCTTTTTCAGTTTTGAAACTGTTAGAAGGAACTTACTCGAGGTAGGAACCATTTGAACAGAGCATGCAGAGATCAAAAGTTAATTTCGTTTTGAACAATTTGAATATCCCCACTCCTAAAGCTACTTTAACTGCAAAAAAATTGAGGACAACTTTGTTTTTGAAATTGTGAAAAACGGTGTGATGCTCTTGAAGTACACAAGAAACTGATTTTCAAAAGAGTTTCTTAATTCGACCGAAATATTTTTTTCAGGCACGAATACAAACTAAGTTATGGTCCAAGTTATTTTCACTAACTTTAAATATTAATTTCATTACTAATTTATCCGTTCTTTCTTATCAAAAATCTAAGTTTTCGAAGTTACGCTAAGAAATGAATAAAGAAAAATTGAAAAATATATATGTAAATATGTATTTAATTGATACTCATGTCATTATGTTACGAGTTATTGTTGCTTAAGTTATTTTACGTAAATTAATAAAATTTTCTTTTAAGTGTATTTCGTCAAAACTATATATTTTTAATGTGGAATTATTATAAGAAACCAACCTGTTAAAGAAATTTTTTGAGAAGCGGTTTCTGGCGAATATTCACTACCATCACATTCTTCTAAAGTTTCTTCATCACTAAACCTACATTAAAGAAAGAAAATTTGAAACAGTCAACCATTACATATACTTAATTAAAATATGTTTACCTCTCAGGTGGATTATGCACTAATGCACATTCGTCGCTCAAAGATCCCGATCTTTCAGGTTCCGCTAAAGATGTTGGCCCGCCAGAACCCGGGCTTCTTCGTACACCTAAATTTTCGAATTTAATGAATATCAAATATGCAACGGCTTTTAGAACGATAAAGGAATAATTATTAAATATAACTTTCAAGTCGGTTTGAAGAGTATTTGACCGGAATTTGAGCATTTTTAATAAACTAGTTGTAATTTGATTTTGAAAAATTTATGAAATTTACTCAAAAATGTTATTAACTAGGTATAAGATGCGTGGTGGTCTCTTTCATCACTAAAAATGTATGTTTTGTAATTCTGAAGACTTTTCGTTTTAATAAACTTCATTCAGTCACTTCTTGGTTTAATGTGTTAAATAATATACACTGGCTAACTTTGAGCAGAATCTCTACAAATCTCTTGGGCGATACCTGCTTATACTAAAAATAATCCGTTAGATCCGTAAAATGTGATTAATTAATCTTAATTAATTTAATTAATCTGTAAATATGTACAAGGAAAAAAATTAAACTCACCTTGCTGGACTTCGACGACGAAGACACCATCTCTTGTACTTGGTGAATATCGAACTGTGGTTTCTCTACTGTCTTCCTCAATATCCTACAAACCATTATTTTATTAATTAAAAAAAAGAACACACTTTTTAAAAGTGCGATACCAACTGGGAAAATGTTATTGATATAACATTAGTACTTTAATTTTATATAATCGACTATATTACAAACTGTTAATGTTCGTATTTTAGTTATTAAAGCAAAAAATTGAGAACAAATTTATGAGAATTGTTTAAATTTAAACAACACAATATGCTTTAAAATATCAGTTTGCAGTACGCATATTGCAAATTATACGGTTATTTAAACCAAATTTCATTATGATTTATCAATCGAAACAGACTTTGAATGAACGCGTTTAGTAAATAGATAAATTGATTGATTTCACATCAAACTGATATTGCAACTTGATCCTTTAAAGTAAATATTGAAAATGTTTTGCCTAACTTTTCTTGTATGCACTTACGTTCCGTTCTTCCGTTTCGACAATAAGGTGATTATTTTTCAAAGTCATAGTTATAATACTCCCATTGACGTTGTTCGGTCTGTTATGTTGAGTTGTCGATCGATCTTCACATATTTCTACAGCTTCTGTACTTATATCTAGATGAGTATCGGTTGAGTCCTGAAAAATAATTCTGACACTTTTTTTTCTTATTCCACTTATTTTTCTTTTGCCAAATTAAACAGTGCTACAAAAATTTGTAAACAACAATTTTTTTACTAAGAAAGCATTATAAGTATCGTTTTTATACTCTTAATTTCTTTTCGATATCTACAGTTTCTGCACTACGACAATTCATTAATTGTACACGCTTAAAAAAGGAGAATTTTTCGATATCTTTGTTTCACCATTAAGGGTAAAGTTATTGTCGTTCGTCCCTTTGTCGCGACACAAAAATGTTAATTGTTAAATTTAAAAAGTGTTTAAGCCATGACAAGCTGTAACCCGGCAATATAAAGTTTAAAAAACATTGTAACAGTATGATTCTGGAGGGTTCCCACATTTCCTATGGTAAACAATTAGCACCCTGAAGAAGGCGTCGAAAGCTTGGCAGCTAAAAAAGTTTTACTTTTGTTTACCACTGCCCAGACCGAATTCCCAAGAAAGAAAAACCATCTTTTAATTATGATTAATTAAAGTGTAGTGAACAATTATTTGCACCATAAAAATTAATAAAATAAGTGCCCAGCCAAATGTCGTCCGTTTTTCTTTTTAATTAAAGCAGGTCTTAAACTTGAATTGAATGAACTAAATTCTTATGAAACTAGTAAATTTATCTAAGATCTATATTGTTTGGCAAATAAGTTAAAGTAGAAATAACTGTTATTTTTCAGACCTAAAAAAATGGTTAATATAAGAAATATCCACTGTGAGGAAATAATACAGAATATACTTATAATAGATACGTATTAAGCTTTTAAATGCTATGATTTCTTACTCTCAAGATATACAACTTTCTAAATAATAAACCTGCAATATTTTAGTGAATTGGTATATTTGAAAATGTATATTTTATAACTGATGAAACAAAATTCCCTGTTAACTTCTTTTATTAACATTGTTTGTGTATGACTCTTCCTGTTCGATACTCGATTATCACGTTTTGGTTTTGGAGCCATAAAATTTGGCAAGAATTTATTTTTCAGAAATTCGTGTTAATACATCGACTATTGAATATGTATTTTGTGAAGTAAATTATTGACTCTAAATATCAAAAGAAAATTCAGAAAAAAATGGCAAATTCTATTCAAATTGTAAGACCTTCTAATGCCAACTGAAGTGGTCTTCAGCAATATTAGTACTTGGCAAAAATGCCAATTCCGGAAATTTTCGAAGTTTGAAGACAAACTTTTGTTCCAAATGCATGTATAAAATATGGGCAATGTACATCACTTTGATTTGAGTTCAGATTAGATAATTAATTTGTATTTTTTAACATTGTCAGCACACTCTTATCTTCTCACAGACTAGGTATTTCACTTAATTTATATAGAAAGATGCTTTCGCAAATCTGGATTTCTAATACACATCCGATCAATTTTTAGTTTGCTAAATATTCATCCTAAAATGTAGGGAGAAAATTTCGTATTTCAAATAATTGTGCTCCAACTGGTTTCGAGTTATGACGCGAACGAGGCGTGGGAGAGAGCTTGTTGCAAAGAAAAAACAACATTATTCGAAAATACTAAAATTAGCAAGGGGACGCGAAATAAATCGGCCTTGTGCATTTGGTGACCTCAATTCGAATCGTTGCACTTCCAACGAATTTTTTACACGTAATTTATCGGGCAGATGTGTAGTTACATGGAGTAGTTGCTCAGTAGAAGAATTGGCTGATTTTTTACTGAAGCAAAGCCTTATTACCTTTCGAACCATGTATTGTCAGACATATTTAAATTAGAGCTTTAACCATTTCAATTAACGACTATTCAAGCAGTTCTTCCACTGCTTTAATCACTTATTTCAATATTAGACTCATTGAGTTTACATGGGAAAATTCACGCTTTAGTGCTACTACATCAGTACTGCATTCTGGGCTAACCATTAATCATTGTGTATTAAAGTTATATCAAATGCATAACACAGTCATAAAGTGCAATAACATTTGGGTTTATGCACGTTTTACTACCGAATTTCTCGTTTGATACGAATCTAAGGCTACTTATTTTGGATCCGTTGTAAAGTGCATACTTGCCGTAAAGTGACCTTCTCCGAAAAATCATAAAAAGGACGCAATAAACCAAAAATGATAAAGGCTTTGCTACACTTTATAGTTGTTATATGGGCTACATTTTTGACAAGAAAGCTATTAAACTTGTATTTAAACTTGGTTTCAAATTTTTTCGTGTGCAGAAAACAAACATTTATAGATGTATTCATAAGCGGCCTAAAAACTTGAAGTAACTGAAGAAGTGAATATTTTCTAAAATAGCTATTAGAAGTTATTTTAAGTAACACACTGCATCGCAAATTTAACGCATAGCAGAAATACTCAATACGTTTTTAATTATAATGTGAAGCTTATCATTAAAAAGCTCAAATCTTTAAAATTTTGTATCTCAATTAATATATCAAACAAGTTTCAATTAATACATCAAAAGTTTGTTGATGAACGGAAAAAGATTCGGTTCTGCAGATTTAAACGAAATAATTCTTATGGCTAGTTATCTAGTTTAAAGAGATCCTGAAATATTATGTGTCTTATAGCTTACCGGAGTACTGACCAAATTATATAATTTTATAATTGACCGATAAATCTGAAAATGTTAAAGCTGTGCAGTAACAACTATACATTTGTTGTTGCACAACTATACATACATTGTTATAATGCTGTGGCAATTTTGTATAGATTGCCAAATTTTGTCAACTGTTTTCAGTTTTTGTTATTTTTTTTATTTCCTCCAACCTTTATTTCTGTTGTGTATCATGTGATACTTTTTGTGCCCACAAGAAAACTTCCTCGTCTCATTATCCCGCAATTTTCTGTGGAAAATATTGGGGTTGTATTGAAGGTTCAAATAATTTTGAATTATACATTTTTTCTTACGTGAAATTTTAGCAGATAATAATAATTGTTTTTACTTTTTAATAATAGTGATAATAATAATGATAATTCAGCAAATAACATTGGGTTCAGATTCTATCTTTATGGCATTCTGGTGTTTATTTGAAATGTTTCAGATGTTGCATTGTTTGTAATGACACCATTAATATTATTTTCTTATCTTTTTCTTAATGTTATTATAGTATTTTCATTTACGCTTCTTCATCCTTTCTTGCTTTTTCTGTATTCTGCTTGTAATGGTAAGCAGTGAGTAAGTTTCAATACTGTTAGTACGTCTAAATATGCTTTCTTAGTAGTCGAGTTTAAAGGCTTCGATTTCTCTGAAGCAGTTCCTTTTCCAATATTTTCCTTTTGTTTTTACAGTCCATTATTTCCTGTCAATCAGTATCATTTCCTTAAAAGATGTCCTCCATATTTTATTGTACAAAAGTAGCATTATCACGTTACTTTTAATCCGATTTTCGTTACAATTTCTGATGTTTTTTATCATGAGTTAGTGAATTGCCTGGATCGATGTTATAATTTATTGTTGCCTTGCTTTGCAATCCATAGTTTTATTATTTTTCCTTTCTGGTTTTCAATTGCACTTTTATCAATTATATGACTACAATCAATTATTTATTTCGGACTTGGTGCGTTTGTCCACGACTTCTATTTTTATTTACTTTCCTGTGACCACCATTATTAATTAATACCTGTCTTGCTGTTTATTTTCCTGCTTACTACACATTCTTTGATTTTTTTGATTTATTTCGTAATCTGAATTTTATTTTTGTTTATGTTGCTATTGCCCACATTTTATCTAACTCTTTTTTATTAGAATCATTTTGTTGTGAATGATATTCTTTATGCATTTCTTGTTTTAATTTTTTACTAGTAGGTATATATTCTGTTGGATATTTTACTACATTTAACAATTACTAGATGTTATATTTTTCTTTCAAATATTAACTAATAATACAAACCTTGAGGCGCCGTACACAAATAATCAAAAATTAATAATAATGATATTTAAGTAAAATTTAATGTTTCGCTTGTCTGATTTTATACTTGTATATTGTTGGACTTAATTTAAAAGACTAAGCTTAATGTTGATTGTCCAATTTGTCTGCATTTGATTGCATTCCGATATATCGAAAATGATACCCTGTGGAAGTAAAAACCAAAAATATTACATTCGTCCATTGGTTACAACAGCAATTTTTTGCCATCGATTTATTGAATGTTATTAGAGAACGATTCCAAAAGATAGATTCATAAAACGTATTTTTTGTTTAATAACTCACTTTTTCCTAAATTTTATTTATTGAAGTTACATTAAGTTTGTGTTACTAAATATATTTATGCGTCAAAAAAAATTATTTATGATACTTGTATAAACAAGACACTGTAGATTTTGCGCGTCAATTATGTAGAATGTGTGACCGATTTAGAGACTCCTCAAGGAGAGCAAATATTGCGCATGCTCGAAATTGTTATACCTTTTTAACTTGAAGAGCACAATTTAAAAACTAACCACAAATAAGCTGTAGTTTGAAATTGTCTTGTTGCAATTTGAAAAATGGTTCTTAAAATTAACGGTTAATCCAGATAGCGGACAAGCTAATTGAATTTTGAGTTTTCAGCTCATGAGTTCCCAATCTTCCTTAAGAATAACGTTTTTTAAGAAGAGGATTTCAATTATTTGTGTTTCTTAGAACTGCCAAACTACGCATTTCGTTTACTTATAATGTTTCAGGGTTGTGTTTCTTTTGTTAGGTGTTCTTCAATTTTCCTTGACGGTTTTTCTACGGAAGTAGTCAAATTTAAAATAAATGCATATTGGAGATATGTAAATTTTTGATCCTACTGATATACACGGTGATTCAAAAATGGCGTCATTTCTTTTAAGGGGATAGGAAGAAGAAGAAGGAGCTCACTTGGAGAGTAGGAGAAAAATATTGAAAATTAGTTTTTCGATCATTTCTACAAGGTATTAACAGTTGAAAATCAAATTTTAAAAATATGTGTATTTCAGCAAAATGCGCAGCTTTCTGAACCTTCTTCCCATCGAATA